ATAAAAATAATAAAAATGTTCCTAGAAAAGAATCACGCGTAACTCGATCAAGCGAATATTTTTTAATGTGTCGGACATTTGACGAAAACTAGAATAAACGTTCTCCGATGTAAAAAGTTTCATTGATTTCAAGAAATTTCTTCTTTCAAACATTATATATTTCGAAATATAATTTATAGAGTATCAACAATATCTTATAAACTGCAATCTTATTCGATAAATTTCATTTATTTATTTCTTCACTCTGACTCAATTCGAATCCAAAATCAGAAGAGTTTAAATTTCAAGCAAATTAATCTATAAATCAAATCAGGCAAATGGAGTTCATTAATTTCTATCGAAATTTGAATTTGGTAAAAAAAAAAAAAAAAAAAAGGATAGTATAAAAACGAAGTAAAAAGCGTGGCAACAGGGAGTTGAATAAAAATGTAATCTCTAATCGTAAGAGACAAACGCTTGATGAGTGAAAACATATTCATACATACATGTGCGTCAGTGAATAACTGGTGAAATATAAAGCGATTGCTTGTTTCTTTTTATCTGATTTTTTGCTCTCTGTCGCTAAATCGTCCTTCCTTTGCAAATTATGAAAAGAAAAAGACCGACTAAAAAGAAAGACATGTTGCAAGAACGAAAATGCAAACGACAAAACGTAGTATCAGATACATGTATGTTAATGATAACGTGAATTCAGTACCACATGAAAAACGAAAGTAACAACAGGTACATCGTAATATATATATATATATCACAGAAAAATTCAGAAGACACACCGAATGCATAATTTTTTTCATAAATTAAGCATAACAAGGTAGAAAGAGAAAGAAGGGAAGATGAGAAGATCGGTACCATTGCACACGATATGTGCAATGAAATAGAAAACGAAACGGCACGTGATCAAGAATTTTCGGGATATTTATTTAATTGCTATACAATTACAGATATATAATTATATAAGAGACGACTATAATAATAGCACGTAGCAAAACATCTCACAAATATGTCATCTGTCGTTCTCCTTAAGCTTATTATCAATCGTTTTATTATCGAGCGATCTTCAGATTGGACAGAGCGATCTATCAATGCAGAATCAGCTTCTCGAGATCGACAGATTCGATTCGTAACATATTGAACGTCGGTATGGAATGCTAGAAAATCACCATTCTTGTCAGTAATTTTCGTTGCTTTTCTTCCTTCATTTATCGGAAAGTTTCACGGTTAGGGACTTTGCAACAACGATTTTTTGTATCGAGACTTACGATGTAGTTGATAACTGTTTACGGAATATAGAAAAGAGAGATTCAATCCAATTGTTTAGAGTCCAATCCTTCCCTTTTTGATTTTTCTTATTTTCCTGTTATAAGATGCAATTTACACGCGTGTAAATTTGACTTACCTATTTAAATACCTAATTAAACACAATAAATCACTTTAAAATTCCTCCTAATACACTATATATCAATTTATTACTCTTAAACATTATACTCCATATTTAATATTGAATTTATTATTTGCCATTTGTGTAATTTTTATCAAACATGATTGTTGATATATATAATTTTGAAATGATAAACTTTTCGTTGTTTTAATAAAACTTTATAATAATTATACTTTAAATGTACAATTTATATGCTGAAAATAATTTATGGTATTAATCTACGGAGAAATATTTCATTTGACGTTAAACATTGAAATTTTTTATAAAATAAAATATGTACACGTGGCGAAGCAATTTTTTTAGTCAAATATTTGTACGAGATGTTAAAATGCAATAGGAAATAGGTAAATAATTCTTTTATAAATTAACATATCAATTTTTTTAATTTATTCTACAAATAATTTATTTATATCATATCTTAAATATCAAAAGATGAAAAGATATATATACTTCGTAAATGTATTAAGCAAGTGAATAAGGACTTTTTGCAAACCAAACGAATAAATTAATAAGGATTTTGTAAATAAAATAGTTTATGATTTCTGTATTATATTTTATATTACGTTATTTCAAATTCCAATGGCAGATTGAACAAACCAATCTTAATCTATAAGTTATGTATTATAAAACACTTTTATGTATAAATTCTTTTTAATAATAAAAAATTATTTTACTTCTATGGTAACTTTTTATATTGTAAAAGATAGAATAAATTTAATTTTTTGCTTTTTTTTCTTGACTTTTTTAATTTTTTTTTTTTCTATTTCATCTTTCTTATCTTTAATATCAATCTTCTTGTTTCCAAATAATAGAATCAATCGGCAGTTAAATAAATAAACTATATTTTTTGAAATGAAAATCTAACCGCACTTTCGTAATTACAAACAATAATGGCACTTATAAATAATACATAAATATACACATATGTAATGATAAATATCAATAAATTTTAACAAATTAATATGATGTAATCCCTAATATTTAAAAAAGTTATTCAAAGAAAAAATGGTGTAAAAATATAATTTGTAAAGGTAAATGTTAACAAAGAAAAAAAAAAATATATATATATATACATTATATACATAATATTTAAATAACCATAAAATTCGCTTTATAAGATTGAGATATTTTCTCATCTTATAATATATTTTATTACATTTTATTTTATTAATATTAACAATGTTTTATTTCATTTTATTACAAACAAATAATAGTTTAATTTTATTATTTAACTTAATTTGTGAATAATTAATTTATGTGCAAAAAATTGGCAAATGAAGATGTGACAAAATATTTTAACGAAAAATAAAAACAAATTTAGAAATTTTAAATATTATACTAATATTTTTAATATTAATAAAGATTATTAATATTTTTCTTCGCGAATAAAAGCTGCATTTAACATAAAGTTTGCCTTGTCAAAGCCTTGACAAGAAATCGGTGCTTTTCGAACATTCCGCATATCATGTACGCGTGGCATATTGATGACATACTGTGTACGGTCAAATTTTAAGGCTGTGTGGTCAATAAAATAATTAAATGAAGTAATTTGATGTTTTTCCTTAAACTTATACTCTCTTCTAGAAGATAATATACTTTATACCAATGATGCACAATCTGTGGCCTGTTTTGAAAATTTTTGCAATTTGTAGATTTCTTGTAGTCTATTTAATTTCTTTTGTTTACAAAACTTTTTAAGATTAAACATCAATTATATTATTTGCATGATAACTGAAGCAATGATTTAACTTTAATTCAATTAAAAATGTGAAAACAGCATAGAAGGCACCAATCTAATTAGCATCTATATTTCTTTTCACCATTTTTTTTTCATTTAATAGTTATTTATATAATCAAGGGGGGGAGGAGAGAGAGAGAGATTTATTGTAGCCCGTGATTAATACGATGTTCCATGTGACTTTTTGTTCTGCTTCACTGCTTTATACTGTCTACATTATTTGTTAAAAAAAGTTTACATTAGAAAAGAACATTACAACTGTGAGAATTACAAATTGCATGAGAACTGCACTTTCAAGTTTTCAATAATAAATAAGCTTAATACAAAAGATTCTCACAAGCCTTTAGTTTTTTCTTTATAATTAATAAAGAAATAATAAAATCTCAATATAAATAATTATAGAAAATGTACATAATTATAAAAATATTTTATTATTAGATTTTGTTTACAAACTTTTTTGAGCGGAATATAAAAATGCGCTGACAGGAATGAATAAATAATGCATTTGCAGAATATCAAATTATATAAACTGTCATAATAACAGAAGAGACATAGAATAATTAATGTTTCACATTCAATATTTTGTTTGTGTACAAATATAAACATTCTTATATAAATAGTATCTAACAAAATTTGTAACAGTAATATACATGAATAAAATTTTTTGGTATTATTTGTTTGAAATATAGATTACAAAATAAATATTCCCAATAATGCATACATTTTTAAATGACATAACACTATAGAACTATGTATATAATTAATTACACAATGTAAGAATACATAATGTAAGAATTTTTCAACTAGTAATTAATTTTACTCATAACAAAGGAAATAAGTATGAAAAAGGATGTTATATACAAGAAAAAGAATGTATACGTATCTTCACATATAAAGATACAAATAAAGAAATGAATTAAAGTATTAAAGAAACAGTACACCTTTGGTCCACATTAGATTGAATAATCAAATACATTCATATTACCTTTAAAACAATTACTGTTACTTATTGTTTGTCATTGCATTTATATTAGTTAAATGCTTAAATCATTAAGCATACATACATCAACAAAGGTAATGCCAAGTTGTCAACTTGATTTGTTTGTGCTTCAATAAATGATAGTGCAATGCTCGATAATAAACTTTGCAAAACTAACCAACCATTATCTATATAACCTATTGAATTGAAAAACATACATTAATTTTATAATGTACCATGATATATTTTATTTAAAAAAATTATTTTAGTAATTAATCAGTATATCATACATACCTAGGAATATTATATACACAACGCACGCACGCACGCACGCACGCACGCACACTTAATATTGTTATATATAGTATATGGAAAATGTTAGAAGATATGAAAAAATTTTGTTAGCGAAAGTTATTCAGTATAGGCTAGACCATAATTTAGCAATACTAATTTTTTTGTAGATGAAAATATTTCAAAGATTTTAAAATCATCTCGACTCTTAAAATTAATGCAACTTGGCATTTTTTATAAAAAAAGTATTCATGTATATAGAAAAACTATATATTAGTATATTATATATATATTTAGTTTAGATTAAAATTTCAAAATCATCTCCACTTTTTTAAATGAAATTGATGATTGACAACTTGGCATCCTTTATAAAAAAAAAGTTTCACACATAGAAAAGCTATTAATTTAGGCGATATTTTATATTTTAATTTTGTAATTAAAATTTATCATGAAAAATAATAAGACAAAAATATCACTCCTGTCTTTCATATAATAAATTTCACAAAATTAGAGTTAAAATATCTTCTAGACTGATAGTTTTCCGACATATATGAATTAATACTTTTTACAGAGAATGTCGAGATGTGTATGATTCCATTTAAAAATCTGGAGATGACCTTGAAATCTCCAAAATCTCTGCATCTACAAAAAAATCATTGTGAGCCTCTCTGTACTGAATAATTTTCGTTAACAAAGTTTTTTCACATATTCAAAAACAACAAGGATGTTTAAAACAACAAAAAATTTAATTTCGAAAAATTTTAAAAATTAAAAAAAATTTTTAAAATACATACCCATAAATGCTAAAATACATATTAATCCAATTTGACTAAGAATACAAGCAACTGTTCCTTCAACAGATTTATTGGAATTGGCCCACTTGTGATAACCCCATCTACTACCAACAAAACTAGCAACAGTATCACCCACACCAACTGTTAAAATACCACTAAGCAAAACTGGTAATGAAAGATTATTGGTAGGCATCCAAAGTGGAAAGGACAAACCACAAAATAAATACAGAGGTGTTAAAGAAATCAAATTATCTTTCTCATCAGCAAACACAGAAAATCCCTGTTGTAATGCTTCTCCAAAAGGTGATATTTGTAAGTATCTCATCAACTGTCAAAATGTAAGAAATTATCAATAGGAAATTTTAAAAAAACTATAAATATTCAACAAAATATAATTTTTTTAAACTTAATATACCTCAAGAAATATAAACAATCCCATTATTATACCACTAGCTAGATACAGCAAAACATGTTCATATATTAAACCAGGTATATATACAAGGACAGCTAATAAGTGAAATATTTTTCTAGTTGAAGTTGTTGCTTGAATATTTAATAATATTTGATATATAACAACTAATACCCCTAGTAGTAAACATAGAGCCCAGTATCCAATTAATATAATCTGTAATATTTGCAATTGTTAAAATTAAAAAATCTAACACTTATATGCAAAATATTACAAAGTTATTGTCATGCATACCTTATTTGTTTTGTTGCAGACAAAGTAAAACATCCAAATTAAAGGATTTTGATCCAATAAAACATACATTAATGGTAAGACTACAACTGACAAAACTGTAATTGTCATTATATAAAAATTTCTGGTCAAGTGAAACATTGGAAAATAACTAGAAATTAAACATACTGATATCACATATAGCATTGCAACCTGAAATTATATTTATATTATATTATATTAATTAATTACATCTTTCAATTACTGATCATATAAAACTTATTATTAATAAAAAATTTAGAATACCTGTAAAAACACTGTTGCAATATCATCATCATGGATAGGTGGCAAATGATATCTTAGTGGCAAATTTGTTACTACAGACATTAGAAATAAAATACATCCATGCATAACTGCTGTTGCTTCTCCAATTGTGAAACAATAAGGAAATGTAGACATTAATTGAAGAATACCCCAAGTTCCTAAACTTCCAATACCTAAGCCCCATGTGACACTCACCAGTAATCCTGCTCTTATTTATCAATAAGTAAAACAATTTAAATTAAATTAATATGAATTAATTTATTAAATTAAAATAATATAATTTTATAAAATAAATAACAATATTCATGTGAAAATTGTAAAATAAATAAAAAATATATTAAATAATAAATTATTTAATATAATATTTCTAAACTGATATACCTTTATTTACTACAAAATGATATAATAAAGATGTTATTATAGCAGGTAAAAAATATATAGCTTGAAAATCTTTAACTGTTACTTTCTCAGTTGACAGTCTCAAATATAAACATATAGAACTAATAACAAGACCAATTCCTGTGAGACCCACAATGAGACAGATTTCAGAATAACTAGCATCTTCTTTTAGTAGAGTTAAAATTGCACTTAGACCTACTAATGTTCCAAGCCATAACCCACTGTTAGCTTTTATCCTGAAAATATTTTTTTTAATTTTTAACCAAAATTTAAAAATAATTTTTTATAACATTTGAAAGTAAATCTTAATAAAAAATATTTTCATTATAGTAACGAAAATAATCATTATGTTACTATAATTATAGATAAATAATTTAAAATATGCTAATAATTTATAATGTATAATTGAATTTTTTTTTTACGATACTTATACATTATGTATACATCCAGAATTTATATTTTATAATATATTGAATAAAATTCAATATACTTACTAAAATAATTAAAATAATTCAATTATTTATTATCACAAATGAAAGAAAATAAATTTATTACTTTCCATAAATTAAATCAAAACAAAAAATATAATTCTATAATTACGAAAGGATTTCAAAATATAAATATACAAATATGCAATATATATGTATGTACCATCGAGAGATACGAATACAAAATACAATATGATTATAAAATAGCAAAGAATTGAATACATCAAAATAACATATATGTCTTATAAATATTTCTCATATATATTTCTTATATATATATTATATGTATTTCTTGTATATATTATATAATATTTCTTATACATTAGACGTAATTAAATATAAATACAGCAAATAATTAACACAACAGACTTCTAGGTTAAGTCACATTGATTTTTATATTCATACAATTAATAAACATACCGATGTTTTATACCATTATCTTCCAAACTATGTAATATTCTTTCTTCAAAATGGCTATATTTTTCAAAAAAAGATTCCATGATTGATAAATTATTTAAAAAAAACGTATTTTTACACCACAACCCCAATCTCTTGCACAGAAAATGTATGATACTATCTGAAAAGGTCAAATTCTTTTTCCGTCATATTTTTTGTTCTTATATATATATGATAAAATACGCACACACACGCATACGCACGCACGCACGTACGACGCACCTGCGTGCACAAACATATTATGTGTATACATATTACAAATAACAAATAACAATACAGATTAAAATATGAATAAATTTATTAATAAATATAAATTTTTAAGTTTTCATCTTTATAATCTTTTATATTTTTCATTTTTATTTGTATATTTCTGTTAAATATCACATACCAGATATTGTTATTGAAATCATATAAAATGTAATGTAAAAAATTGTAATACTAAGTATTAAATTTGACATTAACATTTAATATTTATTAACAATATAAGAATCAAAATAATAATAAGAAAAGAAAAAGGATAATAAAATATATCATGAAATAAAACAACAAACTTATTTCATTAAATAATTTTTATATATTATATATCACTTAACAATTTACAATTTTACACTTTTCATTTATAGTACTTCAATGAGTACACCGATATGCTATACATTTCAAACTGTATAATATCCCTAAATATATTAAATACAGTTTGAAAATAATTAATAAAAGAATATTAAAAAATTATTTTTCTATATTTTGAATACATTTTAACATAATTTTGCCTGTAACAATTAACAATTACTAAAATATTATTATCTCTCAATTATTCATTTTGTATCATTTGAGGAACTTTTATGAACTATGATTCTTAGCAAATGCAATCAATCCGTTTGTTGATGAATCATGGCTTGCAATAGTTTGAGTGCTTTCTAATTCAGGTTCAATTACCTTTGCCAACTGCTTCCCTAATTCAACACTGTTGAAATAAAATTGATATATTTAATTTTTATTTATTTAAAAATTTTTAGTTATTCAATAATGAAATAATGAAATTATTATTTACCCCCATTGATCAAATGAATTGATATCCCAAATAATTCCTTGCACAAAGATTTTATGCTCGTACATCGCTATAAAAATAAAATGTATTTAATTCATAAATGTATATAATTCACTAAAATAAATTTAAATAATAGATGAATATATGTATTAAATTTACCAATCAAAGCTCCAAGAATAAAAGGCGATATTTTCTTAAGAAGAATAGTATTAGTAGGTCTGTTTCCTTCAAATATTTTATGTGGCAATAATAAATTTATTTGTTCAGGACTTATTCCTGCTTTTTCTAACTCAACTCGTGCTTCATTTTCATTTTTTCCTTTCATCAAAGCTTCGGTTTGTGCAAAACAATTTGCAAGCAATATTTTATGGTGAAGATTTCCTTGAACCTAAGTATAAATGTTTTATATTATATTATATTAAATTATTCTTTGCGAATGATAACTTCTAACTATTAATTACCTTATTAAGTGATTGTATTGGAATTATAAAATCAGCAGGAACAAGTCTAGTTCCCTGATGTAATAATTGATAAAATGCATGTTGTCCATTAGTGCCTGGTTCTCCCCACACAATTGGACCTTACATATTTAATTTTTTACCATTAAAAATTATTAAATTAAAAATTGTAATTTTTGTTAAATATAAATGATGAAATATTTACCAGTGCCATAATTGACAGTTTTTCCTGCACGAGTCACATATTTTCCATTACTCTCCATATCTCCTTGTTGGAAATAAGCAGCAAATCTATGTAAATATTGATCGTATGGCAACAATGCATGTGTTTCAGCTTTGTAGAAATTGTGATACCATATTCCAAGAAGAGCCAATATAACTGGTGCCTATAAAATATTTTATTAAATGCATCATATAATTCAATGTTTCAATATTTTGGTCAAAATGTTTCAAAAATGTAATTATAACATTATAAACAAAATTAAGTACTTGCATTTTTCTCCAATGGAGCACTACAAAAATGTTGATCCATAAAATATGCTCCATTTAATAATTTTTCAAAATTTTCAAACCCAATAGACAAACAAATTGACAAACCAATAGCTGACCATAATGAATAACGTCCTCCAACCCAGTCCCAAAATCCAAACATATTTTTCTCATCAATACCAAATTCTTTCACTTTTTGATTATTAGTAGATAATGCAACAAAATGACATGCAACTGCTGCAGGCTGAATAAAAATAAATACATTTTATATATTATTAACATAAGTTAAAACTATTATTCCATTACTTACATTTTTTAAAGTATCTAAAAGCCATATTTTAGCAGAAGTGGCATTTGTAATAGTCTCTTGAGTGGTAAATGTTTTTGATGCTATTATGAAAAGAGTTGTTTCTGGATTCAATTTTTTTAAAGTTTCAGCTATGTGAGTTCCATCTATGTTACTAACAAAATGGACTCGTGGTCCAACATGAAATGCTTTCAATGCTTCGGTTACCATTAAAGGACCCTATATATAAATATATCAATTAAAAATAGAATTTATTTACATGCTTCATAATCACGATTTATATAACATATAAATACCAAATCTGAACCACCAATTCCAATATTAACAACATCTTCGATTGGTTTACCAGTAAAACCTTTCCATTGTTTTGAAAGAATCTATATAATTATATGAAAAATTATGTGAAATTATTTTTAAAAAGTTAAAAACTGATAAAAATAGAAATATGTATATTAATTTTACCTCATTAGTAAACTGTTTCATATGATTTAATACAGCATTTACTTCTGGCATTACATCTTTATTATCAACTAATATTGGCTTATTAAGCCTATTGCGTAATGCAATATGTAAAACTGATCTATTCTCTGTAAAATTAATTTTTTCTCCAGTAAACATGGCATTTCTTGCAGCTTCTATTTCACGTGCTTGTGCCTTAAAAGTAATAAAACATATTATAATTACAAATATAATAAATTATTGATTACTTTATATATTCATATATTTCATTTTATTACACTTAATATATTAATGTAATATTAATTAATGTAATATTTATGAAACATCATGATATATACCAATTTCAATAATAATTGCAATACTTCTTCAGTAAGGCGATTCTTGGAATAATCAATCAAAATTGGCCCATCTTCAGGAGTAAGAATTTCTAGACTAATTAACAAATGAAATATCGATAAAATGATTTATATAAGATCATATAACAACTATTTTTCATATTTTGATGCAAAAAATACTGCAACATATATGTAATTCAATGAAAAAAATATTTAAAAAAAAATATCTGAACTACATAATAAAATAATAAAAATCTTAACTATATAAAGTAATAAAAAGTTTTGGCAAAGATTCTTATAATTTAATTTTATCAGAGTGAGCAGCCTTCGAAAGGTCATCTCAAGGTCACATATCAAGGACAGATAAAAACTTACTTAAAGTTCTCAAAACGTTTTGGATTTTGTTGAAAAAGATTATATATATTTATTTTTGAACCATTTACGTCAAAATATTCTTGCAATTTAATCCATGCTGCTTCGGTAGTTAATTCTGGTTTCGGTTTCATTTTTTTTTAATTTGAGCAAACCGCGCTGACAATATAAAGTCCAAACTTATTCTCTATGTCGACGACTCACGTATAAAATATATTCAAGGCGTGCCAACATTTCCTATATTTAAGCTGCTTTTCAACGCAATGATTCGTCTTGTGATGTCTTCATATAAACAGTATTTAAAGATTACGTTTAAAAACATAACATTATATACATTGTAATTGGATTATTTTTGAATATAATTCTTAATATTTCAATTTTATAAATACATGCAAATTTGCAACAAAAATATTAATTAAATACTATTGATTTTTTAATAAATTCCATAAGATCTAAAATGAATATACTATATATTTGATAATAAAAATTGAAAATAAAAAATTTTTATCGTGGTGTAGTTTTTATTATAATTTTCTTAAACTTTTCTTAATATTTTAAAATTTAAATTAACACTACATATAAAAATTAAATAATATTCATTTATTTAATATAAAAAATATATCCATATTTCTAATATAATTTATTTATTGAAAATAAATACATTAATATACTCAATACATTAATATACTCAATTAAATAATTAAGTGTAATCATAACAATATTGCGTTCATTTTTAAAAACTAATTAAAAAAAAACTTTATTTTTTTAAAAATACATATAACAAACATATAAAATACATATTATATATATAATATATTTTAATATATAATATAATGTGATATAATTGACATTAATTTCAAAATTTATATTTAACATACATGAATATTAAATATGTGGAACGCAAATTGAACCATGAAATGCGCAAGGAACGAAGGAACAATACGATATGTTCCAAGTGAATCGAGTGCTATCACCGAAAATTTTAGAATCGAAGTTTCCAGGTTGCTCTCTAAAGGGATTTCGACATTTTATTTTTTTTTATTAAAGAAGCATTGGAAGGGAAGTGATAAAGAATTAGGAAAAAGTTAAAAATCATTAAAGCTATATAACTCAACTGTTTTTAATTGAGGAGCAAAAATGGTAATCAATCTTTGTTTTGACCATATCTAAACTAAATCATGTCAAACTTTTGATATGTTTTTTCAAATTTTATAATTTACAACTTAAATTTTTTCACGTTAATAGTTATAAACATATGTTTTTATAATTTTGAAATTATTAAACAGTTTGTATGGGATTTTCACTTTATAATATCTTAATGTTGAAAGATATACAATAGATAGGTATGTATATCTATTTTATTCATGTTCCAACGAAAATATAAATATTCTTTTGAAATATTATGATACCATTATTATTATAAACAGCTTTTGAAACAAGACAGTACATCTATTTAAGTTTCTTTTATTATTAGTATATCTGCAAAATATAATTAACAGTAGTTATTGTACAGATGATTATTTAATATAATAATATACATTAAAACAACTAAATGCAATATATTTGTTATTGTCTGTTATAGTCTCACACAATACTGCTTGTTCAACCAGGCGATAGACCTGAAACAAGAACATATTCTGATTACGAAAGTGTTAATGAATGTATGGAAGGTAAGATATAAATATAAATATTTCTAATTTATATTTTGGCAAATTAAAGTTTAACAACTTTTTCATTAAAACATTGAATTAAATTAGATTGAAACAAAAGAAAATAAAAGTTTGATTTTTTAATATAGGTGTATGCAAGATTTATGAAGAACACCTAAAGAGACGAAATCCAAATACACCAACTATAACATATGATATCAGTCAATTGTTTGATTTTGTTGATCAACTTACAGATTTATCATGTCTTGTTTATCAAAAATCCACAAATACATACGCCCCATATAATAAAGATTGGATTAAAGAAAAGATATATGTTTTACTACGTCGAGCTGCAGGACATAGCAAATAATAAATAAAAACACATCCATGCTTTTGTGTATAAGACAAATTAACTTTTAAGTACAGATCTATATTACTGTTTGTAATAATAAATATATAACCTATAAAAAAGCTGTATCGTTATATTCACATGTTATAAAACAATATTCTCAATGTTATTATTAAGTATAATGTAGTTTCTTATTTTATGTATTTATAATAAAATAGTAATGTGATTTTTTTAAAGTTGCACTATTTTTAGATAAATGCGAATATTCAATAAAATATATATTTTTCTTAATATTAAGGAAATTTTAATATTTTATTTTTGAAACAGTATATAATGTTATTTCAATGCTATTTGCTTTTTGAAAAAAGTTTATATTATTATTCTTATAGAAGTTTATATTATTATTTCTTACAAGAAATTATAAGTATTAAATATTTGTCACCATTTAATAAAATTACATATTTACCATTTTATAAAATAGGAGAATAAAGTACAAACATAGATAATATGAAAATATATTATAATCATTAATAAATAAAGATGCATTTAATAGTATCTAATTTTATTTAAAAATTTAAAAAAATAACAATGTTAATAATGTTAACCTAATTTTTAATATCTAAAATAATTATTTCATGAGTTAGCTACACATCATGTCAATAATTTTTCATATAAATATTTTGTATGTATTGTATAACAGGACAAAATGCATCTGCATATTATATATTAAATATAAATTTATATTTAAGTTTTTTATATAATACAAATTTGGTGAAGAAACTAGTTTGCACAAAATGAAATTATCATTTTTCCATACAAAAATGATGGTATATATTAGAATTAACATTGGTTTAAATCACATTACATTAAAGTAATAATTTTATAAAATAATTTTATAAAGTAATAATTTTATAAAATATATTGTATGTAATAAATATCAAATATGGATGTAAATTTTACAAGATATGTCATGTATGTACAGAACAATGTTACAATTAATTTTATTTTCTATTTTTATATTATTTATATATATTAGTAATAAACATATTGTATTGTCATTTGTGAACGTATATGCTTATGCGTATCCGGGTGAGTCATTTAAAATTAAAAGCTGAAATATTTTCTAAATGATTAATTATATCAAAAAATAAAGTTTCAAGAGGAACATTGGTATGATTATTATTTTTTAATATATACACATAGACATGTTTGAAGATCAAGTTTTTTTTTCTTAAATGAAATCGTATATTTTCGATACACTAATCGATTTAATTATTTCTCATTCTCTATAAAAAAGAGTATTAAACTATTTATATTAAAAAACCATTAGTTCAAGAAATATTTCGGAAATAATTCGGGAAAATACTCGTAGAATATTGAATTTATATACGGTAACATTAGTCATAACAAAAGATTGTGTAACATTTGTTAATTATTTGTTGAGATTAAAATAAAATAAATGTTTATTTCATTATTATATAATAATTATTACAAAATGTGCTCAAAGTGAATATCATTGACATCCAAACACTTTTGTTATCTAATTTTTGAAGAATGGAGTTTTATATTATTTAACATCAATGCGATGATATTTCTACATTCTTCGACAATTCGTTAACACATGCTTTAATGATTGAGTGATATATGAATGTAGACTATTTAGAATTAGCCACAAAAAAAATCTAATAGGTTCAAATCTGGTGAACTATTGGTTGATTCAATGAACTAGTTCACTTTGTCCAAATCATCAAGAAAGAAAATGTTGGTCTAATACTTCTTCGCTTGAATTTGCAATAAGATTACTTCTTTTTCGTTTTTAATAACCATTTAAGACAGAATGAAAATACAAATATAACACAACACTATTATGAAGTAAGAATCATTGTTAAACGTTTCAAAATAAAAAATAATTTGAGAAACAAAACATCATCTGACATCTAAAAAGCATGAAATAAGCAAATTCGATTTTGAATAAGTATCACATTGCAATGTTTTAATTAAAATATCACCTGCATTAATGGTTTTTCGATATAAATGGTTTAATACTTTTTTATAGGGAAAGACGAGCTGAATGTATTAAAAAATATGCGATTTCAATTAGAAAAAACAAACTTGATTTCAAACATCTTATATGCATCAATTTTAAAAAATAGTAATTATATTAATTAATACCTCTCTCGAAACCATTCAACTTTCGTCTAAAATATTTTTTAATATAATTAATAATTTCGAGAATATATTGGTTTCTAGTTTAAATGACTCACCCGGTACACACAATGACACACAACACACACACTATTTTATATATATATATATATATATACACACATAGTAATATAAAAGTACATAAATTGCACATATTGTATACTGTTTTACGCAGTGCGTTTATATATCAGCTGTCTCCCATTAAATGCGGTAGTTTTGCAGAGTTATACGAATAGCAGTTACATAAGATAACAAGATCTAAACGATCCAATCCGTTTGTTAAAGAAAGTATACTAAATCAGTTTTAAGATAACGTTTAACTATTGCAAAAGACGATTGTTGATCATTTCTCAACATTGCATTTGATCGCGAATGAGATTCTTTTATATTTTAACCAATAACATTGTTATATTCTAGTATTATAGTATTATAATACAAAATTTGTAGTATTTTCTACTGACAAATGAATGCTGTGTTATGATTCATTTGATTTTTATCAATGACAAGTGTTCAGTACTCTTCAACGTTAATTTTGATAAAAATTGTTATCTTTTGTACATGTCAAGTGTTATAAAAAAATTTATATGACATAAAATATTGCAAATTTTTATACTCAAATGATTTAAGAAATATCCTGTAATAGTTACATAAGTGACAGGATGTCTGACAAAATTGAAGTTGATCCTTTCAGTGAAACCCCTCTGGAATTCCAAAATTGCGAAGGTAAAATTATTAATTATTTAAGACAGCCTTTACAAATAATTTGGACATTATTTATTATATAAATACGAGTACTTTTAAAATGAACATACTATCTAATATATTTTTCGTCAATAAGACGCAATTCGTATGTTCAAAATCAATATAAAGTAGAATTTAATATAAAGTAGAAATCACGTAAATCCATTACGAATAACACGTTATAATGTTTAATAAAAAATAAAACCCATTTTATTTAAAATTTCATTTAATTGAATTGATATCTTTATAATACATACATAACTTAATCATATCTGAATTTTTATTTCACACTTTTTATTATATTATATATATATTGCATAATTTGAAATCGTTTGTAAATAAACATGAGATAAATTACACTAAAAAATAAAAACTATAAATATCATGTTTTTTTAATCAAAGTTTTATATATATTGTATAATATAAAATTATGTGTACTATGTTAAATTTATTTCATTCTAATTTTAAATTTTAAAGGAGTTACAGAATCCATCAGAGAATTAAATTCAAAGGATGATTCACTGAATGTAACAAATGAAGTAACATATGCAGAACCTTTAACAGCAGAACAAATACGGTGGTTTTATAGAGATGGTGTAGATAAACGATGGGTAGAATTCTGTGGATACGATAGCTTAAGAATTGAAAATGCTTGGCAAAATTATCAGAATTTGCTTAGTAAAAATAATGATATAATTAACAATCCACCTTCTATTGAAAAAATTGTAGTTAGAGGAGGAATGTATGATGTGGAACTAGATAAAATGAAATGTGTTTCAATATATTGTCCAGGTATATATTTTATTTAGTTTTAATTTTATGTTATTTTTAAATATGTATATAATTTAAATAATAACTTTATTTTTTAAATATGTGTAATTTAACAGATTAAATATAAATTATCAAATTAATGAAAGGTTATATTTTCTTATTTCATATTATATTTTCATATGATAAATGAGTTACAAATTGTTATATATAATTCTTTAATTTATGTAATAATGTTTACTTTCTCTTTACAAGCACATTATTATGTCTGCCATAAAAATCAATTGATTTGCCCTTGAGTTTATTGCAGCCAATTCCATGATTAATGTAATTAGATCACCATAGGATGCATTATACTATATTGTTGTAATTTTTTTTTTTAATTTCTATATACTTCAGATATGACAAATTATGCATAAAAATATTATGGTTTCTTTATTTTGAATTAAAAATAATTAATTCATAAAATTTTTAATTTACTAGATAGTTATACATGTATTATATATAATTTGAGTTTTTAAATGAGTATGATTATTAATTCTAATTTTATTTCAAGGCGAAGAATGGGAAATTATGAGAGGAACTTGGTATTATGATGGCAGTTGGTTACCTTTAGAAGTGGAGCAATCTAAAATTATAGAAGAAGTTCATCTTAATCTTTTTCAAAAGCAAGATTCTAATCAATCTACTTTGACATGTGATACATCTTCTCATTCCTACAAAAGTATATAAATTTTGTTTTCTTAATTTTATCTGCTGTTTTCTATAATATTCTATTAATATTCTATAATATAATATTCTATAATATTCTATTATAATATTCTATAATATTCTATTATAATATTCTATAATATTCTATTATAATATTCTATAATATACTAATATTTCAATCTAATAAGGAAATAAATTTTTGTATTTCAGTATTACACACTGAACATTTTCCTGAATTTCATGTTGATTGGCATAGTATAAATGATGTGGTATTATATAGCGAATATAGGCATAGTAAATTAATGCGTAGTGTTACATCAAAACTAGGTTTTGCAAAAAGTAAGTATTTTAAAAATATATTTATAGTTATTATTAAAATTTATTTAATTATTATTGACTAATTTGCAAAACAAAGTGGAATATTCTGCGAGTAATGTCCACTTTGTATAATCAAATATTTATTGGTATATTATCCTGTGAATAATTTTTTATACAAATTCATGTTTTTGAAAATATAGTAAAAATTGGAAAAAAATCATTTTATGTAAAAAATATAAAAAGATTATATTTTCATTTTATATATTTTTTGTATTATATAAAATTTTTTACAAATCTATAAAAATTCGCATTCTAATTATAATAAATTAATGTTAATAGAAAATAGTAAATATTTCAACGAAAACAAATTGTGAATGATTTGATAAATTATATATAGTCAATCGTATAAATTTCAATGATATAGATACATTGTAAAATTTTAGTTATGATATAAATGGTTTAAAAATTATTATTTATAATCTTTATAGCAACAGGCTATCAATTAAGAAGAGGATATAAAAATGCTGCTGTCAAAGAAGATAAACCTCATGATATTGATCACATAATATTTGTAGTTCATGGAATTGGTCAGAAAGGAGATACTGGAAAAATTATTCGCAATACAACATTGTATGTAGAAAATATAATTAATAATTGTAATATATTATATACAATTGATGCAATATAAAAATTATTAATCTATTGTATTTAATATTTAAACAGGTTTAGAGATTGTGTAGATTGGTTAAAACAAAAATATTTTCCTAACTCTAATTATAGAATAGAATTTTTTCCTGTTGAATGGCGATCATCTTTAAAACTTGATGGAGGTAAATACTTGCTTTATAATTTGTGTATTTTTTTGCATTTAATTATTTGCATTTACATTTGATAAAAATTGTTTTAGGTATAGTAGAAGCTATCACGCCTTTTAGTGTGGTAAGCATACGACACTTATTAAATACATCAGCAATGGATATTCTCTACTATACAAGTCCTCTTTATGGAGGGGAAGTAAGAGCTGGATTACAAAAAGAGTTAAATAGATTATACTTTATGTTTACTAGTCGTCATCCTGGTTGGAAAGGGAAAGTTTCAATTTTAGCACATTCTTTGGGATGTGTAATTGTTTATGACATTGTCACAGGCTGGATGGGTCCAGACACAAGACCGCCATCCCCAGAAACAGAAGAAGTTTTAAAACAACGATTGCAATTCCCTGTAAGTGTTATTCTTCATTGCATATTATTTATAATATAAGATATTTATATATAATAAAAGTAATTCAACGTAACGTAATATTAAAAAATTTTAGTTTAAATGTTTTCATAATTCCAGATTGAAAATTTATTTTGTTTGGGTTCTCCATTATCAGTATTTCTTGTATTACGTACACCTTCTCCATCCAACAAAACAGATGTGATGCCTCAAGGTTTATGCAAAAGATTTTACAATATATTTCATTGGTCTGATCCTGTAGCTTATAGAATGGAGCCACTTCTAGAGAGGGAATATAGCAAAATTGAACCTGTTCTTATTCCACCATATGGAGGAGTTGATGATCAACAAACAGAACAGTCACCTCAAACAATGAGTAATCCTGACCAAAATTTTTCTCTCATAGGTATATTAAATAGTTTCTATCTATTTTCAGAGTGATGGTTTTCTTTTAGTTTAATGTCCATACAATATAAAATATTTAATAACAGATAATGACGAGAAAGAAGAAAATTCAGTAGATATATCTAATCGCACACCAGACAAAGGTTGGAGTCTTTGGGGTTTAGTCCGTGCTGGTTGGAATATTAAAAAAGGTGTTCCTACACCTATTCAACCGGATCAAGGTAAAGATATATTATCTTTTAGTTAATCTATCAATAATAAAAATTACAATAAAAGCTACATAATTTGATATTTGTTTATTTTTTTTTTTTTTTTGTTAGAATTGACACAACGATTGGATTATGTGCTTCGAGCAAGTTTAGGAAGAAATTATTTTTACACATTAGCAGCACATACAACATATTGGAGTAACTATGATGTAGCTTATTTTGTGTTAACAAGACTTTTCCCAACATTAGAAACATGATGTTGGTTTGTATGCTTAGAATGAAATCAATCAGATTCTATTAAAATTTACTAGTCTATTGTAGGTCTTTAAAATTTAATATATACTGGAAATAGGCCTACTACCAAAACAATCTGTGATAATGAAAAAAACGATACAATAATGTTATAGATTCTATATAGTTATTTTATATTGCTCGCATAATTTAAGATTAATATGGTCGAGTTTCACAATTAAAAGCTTAAATGCTATTTTACATATTGTATAAAAAACTGATTTACATACAATATATTGTTATAATTAATTAAGTATTTAAATAATTTCGCTTAATCAGTAAATTTTTCATCATTAGAAAGACATATTTTATAATTTATGTTGAATGTATAAATATTATTTATGTAAAATATTTATTTAAATTTATAACTACAGTATATTTCCTAAAAATTTATATTATATATATATATATATAACTACTTATATATATATATATATATAACTACAGTATATTTCCTAAAAATTTATATTATATATATAGGATGCCGTACGTTATTAAAACGTTATCATTTATATTTATTTTCTAGTTTAAAAAGTCGTATTAGATTTTAAAACAGCATTAAAACAATTGTGCTTTAAGCAACGCCAAAATTAATTATTGACGCCATAATTAACTCAATAATTAGTAATAAAATTAGAAATATATATTGTAATAAGAGTTTGTATTAATTAATGAAATCCTCTTTTTTATATATCTTTAAAATTAATATTAGATAGATATTTTAAATTGAAAAATGAAAAGAATATTTTTTTTACAATTTTTTATTTTGTTAAAACAAGTGAAACTCGTCCTATATACTGAAAGTTTACTTAAAATAAGGCAAAATAATGTTTAATTAACTATATCAACTAAAATCAATGCACAAAACAAATAAGATATCAATATGTTATCATTGTTGCTTCTATTTCTAATAGAAAACAATAATAATTTATGTTATATATTTGTTAAATGATCCAATTTCCTATTAAAATAACAGAAAAGTTAGGCTATATTTCTTCAATATTAATTCTATTGTATTAATTCTATTGCATTTTTTTTTTCTTTAACTTTGTTCAATTCATTATACAAATAACAAAATTACATGATTTTATCAAAATTTTATAGAAAATGTAATATTAAATATTAATTATATTTTATATTATTTTATTTTTCTGTAAGTGAAAAAAATATGTTTTTATTTGAAATTTTTTATATAAAGAAATTACATAAATTTGAATTATTACATGAAATATTAATGACATATATTATTATATGTATATATATATATTCTTTTATTATATATATTAAAAATCTATGTATGTAAAATTTCAAAAATTATTTACTTTATTAATTTGTTGACATATTTTACTTATATTATAATCATATATTTATTATTATGATTATAAGTAATATATTTATGTATTATATAAATGTGTTCACACCTTAATAGTATAAATAATAGTATAAATTTATCAACTTTTAGAGAATTTAATAATGACGCACTTTTTAATGTAAATATAAATTTTTAAAGAGCTTTGTTTACAATATACAATTTAGTAGGATGACAATAATATTAACTATTCCAAAGGTAAATACCATATCAAGTTTTAAGAGCACATAAGCATATAGAGAAAAGTAACTCTAAATTAATAATGCAAATATTAAATAAAATTAAATATATAAGTTAAAATTAAAATATTAATAAATAAATAAATATATATATACACATTCTTATATTGAACAAATTTTAAATTTTGACATTTTGAAGAAATAAAAGCATTAAATATATATATACGTATACTCATATGCTATATATATGTATATGCAATGCCAAAGTTACTAGATACAATTAAAATTTCTTTAATTTTAAGTATTTACCCACTGAATATAGATATAAGTATATAATAATACATTTATATGTTAATAAACGTATTTTTTCTTAGAATGAAAAAAGGTTTTTATTTGTTCCTATGTACTTGAATTTTATACATAATATACATATATGTATAATATATTATCATGTATAATATATTATAAACATAAAAATAGAGGATCTATTTGTTTTATTCCAATTTTATGTGAATATTATATTTTTTCCAAATTTATTCACTTTATTTTAATTGATATAAAAATTGGTAAAAATTCTTAAAATTATAAAAATTATATTTATATATTACAATTATCTTGTACAGAAATCTCTATATTCTTGTAAAATAATGCTGTAAAAATAAATATTTGCAAAAAATTTGTAAAATTTGTAAAATATTTGTAAAAAAATTTTGTAAAAATATTTTATTAGGTAAAAATTTTTTAAAGTCATATATTTGAATAGATTTCAGTTATGTATATGTAATATATAATTATAATTATAATTATCCTTTGTTCCTTTTTAATAATTTTATATATTCTGATAAAACATGTTAATAAAAGTATGCATTACAATTGAAATATGCTTTTTATGAGACTCAAAAAATATTTTCCTTTTTATATTATTATTAGATATTGAAATTATTATATTTATATAGTTAGTGTAGATGTAAATTCGTATATTCTTTATGAATTACAACAAATTAAATAAAAATATGTTAATCTCACAAATATCGTACATATCATGAGTATTTTGTTTTGTATATTCTGTATAATTTTATGCATTATACATTTTATTATGTAAAATTATGTAAACTTTTTGTAAAGAAACATTAGTTCAAAAAGTTAATGAATTTTATACAAAAACATTCAACAAACATTTGTTGTACAGTAAAATTATAAACTTCCTATAAAGAAATTTTAGTAACAAAAACATTAATCTAATAATTATTATATTATTTGATTGAATAATATTGCTTACGTATGTAATATTATTTGTTTATATTAAATTTATTTAAATAAATTTAATTGTTATATAAGAAGCTTCTGATAGAAAAAAAGCGTACTATATATTTCTATCTATATATATATACGAGAAAATATATATTATAAAGATAGTAATTTTAGATATAATGGAAATTTAAATATATTTATTCCTTTTTCTGATATTAAAATTGATTAATTCAAAAATTAAAATTATAGTGAAATTTAATTTAGAATTACATGAATATTGTGTAAATGTCAAAAGTACTGTATATGTATATACACATACACATACATATGTAAGTATTCATAAGTGTATATATATATATACTCACATATATAATGTATGTATTATATACATTATATATAAATATATTATACATTATATCCTTATATATACATAGTAATTATACAGCAATTATATTATAGCTGTCCATGATTTATGATTTACGTTTTAAGTCATTTTGTACTTTGAACTTATAAAGGAGCGTTATATTTACATATCTTCGGCAAATGATTGAATGAGAAACTTTGGTTTTCATACAAATTATTCGACGTAAAGAACATCTTAATTGCCGGTGTACAATGTGGTTCTGCAGTGCGTGTTCAACATTGTATGAAAAAGAGAAAGAAATCATTTTATTTCAGTAAAAGATATTTTTCTTTGATTGTGATAATAAAATGTTCGCTTTATGGACGTGGTTGTTACGTATTAATGAATGATAAATGTGATAATTTATAACATATAACATATTTTGAACATAATTTACAATAAAAAAACCTAAAAAAACGGTATTTTAATACATTTATACTTATAAAATTTCTAACTTTTCTTATAAATGATATATCTATATATTGTTTGTTTAATAGTACAATAGTAATATAAAACGACGATACAGTACATTTTATATTTACAGCATAATGCATAATAATTTAATTGCTGCCGCCATCGGTGTAACCGTTGGTGTTATAAGTGCAGCTAGTATTTTTATTTACCGCAAAATTTTGGCAAATCAACAATACAGTACAACAATTTCCGATCTAGATGCTGCCAATAAAAGAATTGATGAATTACAAACAGAATTAGAAGCTTTAAGGTAATATAATTTTATATAAAATATTTATCTATGTTAATATATGTTATCTATGTTATTATATGTTATTTTGCTTAATTTAAGGTTACAACTGAGACAACAAAAAAAGAAAAGGAAAATTTCACGAAAATTTAACTCTAACGACAGTACTTTTACTGTAGATAATGATACAGATGTTGATATTTTTTCAACAACTGATATTGGAGATGATGAATTCTATGATTGTTCTGATGGTGAAAGTGTTATTAGCGATAGTGATTTAAGGTTGGTATAATAGTGTAAATATATGCATTATAAGTATCTTAAACTTATATAAGTAACACGTACGAGGATTTATAATTTATTCTAGTAAAAGTGTGAATCTACTTCCTGAAGAAACATCTTAAGAATATTCAAATTATACTATTTAATTGATTGCGATTTAAGCATGATTACTTGTACTAATTTGGAAAATTAGAATTTGATCATTTTGGCAAGTAAAGTTATTTTAAAAGTGTAAAAGGAAGAGATTATATGTTCAGTAATATAGGATCTCAGAGGAACTGAACCAGCTGGATATAATACTAAAGGAGATCGATGAACAAATAAACAATCAATTTGATGTCAAGGCTTATTATGCATTACAAACATTGGTGAAATCCCATCCAGATAATGTAGAAGTAATATGGAGATTTGCAAGAGCTAGCTACCATTATGCAGAAGCACAAACTGATAAAAATGTTAAGAGGCTTTTCATTTTTGAAGGTATATACAATATATATATATATATACTTCTATTAAATAAATACTTTTATTTACCTTTATATAACATAATAAAGACAAATCTTCAATAGGAGTCCAACAATGTGAAAGAGTTCTTGAAAATCAAAATGCTAATTTGTATAAGTGGTACGCTATTCTCATAGGATTACATGGAGATTATTTATCAGTGGCAGACAAAATAAAAAATGGTGTTGTTTTTAAGAAATATGTAGAAATGGCTTTAGAAATACAACCAGATGATTTTGAATTACATTATCTCCTAGGAAGATTCAAATATGAAATTGCTAATTTAAGTTGGATTGAAAAAAAGGTTTAATTTATAATTTAATTTATTTAAAAAAGTTTAATATAATCAAAATATGTTTATAGAAACATTACAATTTAATTCTAGACAATTAAAATTTTTTTGTAATTTTTTACAGATAGCAGCAACATTATTTACTAAAATTCCAAGTTCTTCCATTGAGGAAGCACTCGAATGTTTTGAAACTGCAGCAAGGCTTGGAAGTACAAATCCATATACACAGTTGTATATTAGTAAATGTTATATTGTTTTAAAGGAATATACACATGCAAATGATTCGTTAAAAGAAATTTTAGAAAAACCAATTGTAACGATTGATGATGAAAAAGTGCATACAGAAGCAAATAAACTCTTCAACAAATACTCAGGATATAATGTATAGCGAAAAATAATTTGTATATCTCATCTATATGTAATAATTATACTATTTCTATATATGTATACTATATTACAGCTTAATCTAAATATTAGCATTAAACAGTTTAATTATTTAATTATTACATAAAATATAGGTACTAAACATTTTTCAAAATATTTTATCTATCACAGCAGGTAAATTTTTTAATTTAATAAAAGTGTTATGATAGAATGTAATTTATAAAAATCTATATAAAAAGGTGCAAGGTTTTATAAATTAGAAATATATACTTTATTTGTACAATTTAGCAAATAATATTTTATGTATATAGAAAATAGTATATATATTGAAGCGCCTGAATTTAGTTATTTTCTTAAAAGAATTTATAAGATTTATTATTAGTGATATTTATTGTATATATGTTTTAAGTAAAACTTATAAAAAAATCATGCACTTTTGTATAATTAAATTGCTTTATAAAAAAGTGAGTGTTTCGTCCCCAAAAAATATTTATTAGTCCAATATAAATATCCTATATTTTTTAAAAATTGCAATTAAAATAAAGTTTTATCATTTGTAGAATTCTACATAATTTGTAGAATTTTTAAAAATAATAGTTGATAATTTTTCTATTTTAATAAAAATATGTTATAAATAAAATAAAATAGTATATATATTGAAGCGTCTGAATTTAGTTATTTTCTAACTAAATTTTCTAACAAGCTTTAGCTCAATTATATTTTTCTTATTTATTTTAATTTGTGTAATATTAAATTGAATTGAGGAAAAGGCTTTTTTGAATTTAATATAAATAAAACTAATATAAATACAAAGTTAAAATTTACATGAAAGAAAAGTAGAAATAAATGACAAACTGTTTTATATATATATAATATATATATATAATATATATATATATATATATATTATATTACATATATATTATAAATCTTTTATATAATATATTATATATGTAGTTTTTTTTCTCTCAATATTTGTAATTTTACTTTATTATTATAGCATTTATAAAGAAATTATAGAATTAAATCGAAATTTTAAAAATAATTATGAACTTTTCCCTTGTTTTAACAGATCAATAATGGTCCAACACAGCATCACAGAACTTGGTAGATATTGGGTGAGAATGGGGTGAAAGGGGTGAAGTAGAGGAAGCCCCTCTAGTAAGATAGGAGAGAAGCCAAAGAAAACATTTCAGAACATTTTAGTTAACATTAAATGCTTGAAAGGAGTAATTCATTTAAAACATACATATGACAAGGTATAAATTGTGTTATTTCAAAAATAATTATACTATAAATTTTTAAACTTTTAATTTAGTTTATATCAATCTTGAATTTTTGTTGTTTCTACTTTTGTAATATTAATTATTATCTAAAAATTTCAATTTAAAGTTTTTTTTTAAATTAATAAATATTTCATTATATATTATATTTTTTCTTTCAATTTTTTTACATTATATGATTTTCTTTATAATTTAATTATAAGTGGTTTTAAGGTATGTATTCCTAATGAATATGTCAATTATAACAGTAAGTTTTTAAGCTTTAGGCAAATAAGAGTTGCAAATAACAGTTGTTTTATTACATATGTTTTTTAATATTTAAGACATAATTTGTGATGCGTGGACTTTTACGTGGTACTTTATACTGTACATTATGGTATGGCAGCATAGTGGCTGGTTTTCTATTTATCGCTTGCCCTATGTTACCACTGTTATTTTTTAGTCCTCCAAAGTTTCGAAAATGTGGTGATCTATTACTTTCTTGTTGGGAACTATATTCTACAGTAAGCAAAATAAATGTTTCCTGCTTCTTTTTTCTTTTTGCTAAATTCTTCCATATAAATAATGTAATGTAATTATTCCATAAACTAATAATTTTCATATATTTTAGGCTCTTTTAAAAGTATTTGGTGTAAAAATTTTTGTATCAGGAGATCATATATCTCCAAATGAATCTGCTGTTCTTGTAATGAATCATAGAACACGAGTAGATTGGAATTTTTTATGGGCTGCAATGTATCAAGCTTGTTTACCAAATGTAGCAACTCATAGATTAAAATTTGTTTTAAAGGATCCTATACGACATATTCCAGGACCAGGTAATATAATTATTATATATTATAGTTTTAATAATTGTATTGTTCTATTTTTTAGATAACTTCTAATACTCCCTATTTGTAATTAAGAAAAATATTTCAAAAAACTTATTGTATTTTGAAGAAGATACTTTATGTGAAGATATTTCTAAGATTTCAAGGTGATTTTTTTGTTTAAACAAAATTATATATTTTCATTTAACGAGACATATAATTAGATGTATCATTCCAAGACAAATTCATTGATTTATATTATATTGATTTTCAATGTCATTCAAGTTATATGTATCATACTTAACATTGTTTAAATATGAATGAAACTATATCTTCTAATCTTCTAATTATCTAATCTTCTATATCTTCTTATTTAAAAAACCAAATCATTTTGAATTTTTAAAAGTACTTATGTTTAAACAATATTCATATTTCAATAAAATATTTTCTTCAAAGGACAAGAAGTTCTGTTTTCACATGTTTGGAAGATAATTGCATAAGAAAATTATAATTGCATAGAAAAATTATAATAGGATATTCTAACAGTAAATATAACATTATATAACTCGCACGATAATTATTGAAAAATTACTAAAAAATTATAATTCTATTTGCTTTTATTAAATAAATTTATTAAATAACTGATTTTATAAAATAATATTATTGTTGTAAAATATTGTAAAATAATATTGTAAATAAAATAACTGATTTTATAAAATAATAGGATGGATAATGCAAATGAATGGTTTCCTTTATATAACTCGTCACTGGGAAGAAGATCAAAATCGATTATCACGTACTTTGGATTATTTAGTGGCTCTTGAGAGACGATCTCAATTACTTATATTTCCAGAAGGTACTGATTTAACAAAAAGTAGCAAAGAGAAATCTGATAAATATGCTATGCAACATGTTCTGCCGCAATATTCTTTTACTCTTCATCCAAAAACAACAGGATTCAGTTATTTAGTTCGACATCTTCAACAAGCAAGTTATCTCAATGCAGTTTATGATTTAACGATTGCATATCCTGATTATATTCCTCAGTCTGAATTAGATCTGATCAAAGGAAGATTACCAAGTGAAGTACATTTTCATATTAAGCGAATACCATCATCAGATGTGCCAACAGATGATTTAACATTAAGACAATGGTTAGAAGAAAGATGGTTCAACAAAGAAAAAATTTTAGAACAATTTTATGAAAAGAAAACTTTTTCTGCTGAAATTTGGCCGTTAACAAAATTACGTCCTTTGCATATTGCCTTTAGTTTCTGGAGCATTTTAACAGGTAATATTCTAATATATATTTTTTGATTAATTTTTAATAATACTTTTATCATTTCAATTTCAGGATGTACAATAATTTTACTTATTATTTCACCAATATTTCAATTATGGACATTGGTACACTCAGTTTTTTTTATTGCTCTATCTTTTTTTACTACTGGTTTTAATCAACTTGAAATGGGATGGTATTGGCGTTGGAAAACGTATTTTCTTAAAAAATATGATTAATAAGATTCGAAATTGTTTAATATGAATAGATTTCAGTATTGAATTCCAGTATTATAAGATAAATTACTTTGTACCTACAACTTTGTTATAAATATTTTAGAAATTTATAATATAATTATGATATATATTTATATATATTATAGATATATATTATAATATAATTATGATATATATTTATCAAATTCATAATTATGAATCTGAGAATCAAGTTGATTTAATTTTTACAAATAAAAATTTAAATTAAGTTAATTATATAATTTGTATTTTAGAAATTTTAAATAATATAATGACAATTTAAATCAGAACGTAGTATATGTGGGAACACTTATAACTAATAGATTTCATACGAAATTAATTTAAATGAGTTAATTTAAAACAAAAAAAATTTTAATATAACGAGACTGAAATATATAATAATGATGCTAATTTAATTACTAATCAAAGATATAATTAGAAAATATGATGGAATTATGAATTTATTATGAATTCTTTGTTATCATATTCTACATTTTAAAAAGATAAATTTATTGTATTCCATAATTGTTTAAACTTTAATGTAGTTTGCAAAACTGATATTAAAAAGTTTAAAAAATATTTTGTTAATTTAGATGTTCAGAATGTAATATCTTTTTCTTATATTCAGAATTATATTTATATAAAACAATTTCGAATTATATATATATAACAATATTTTATTTTCGTCAAGTTTAAAGAAAGAATTGATATTTAATATTATAAATATTACAAAAGTAATATCATAAATATTACAAAAGAATCGAAAAGTTTTTAAATATTTTGTTTATTTGGTATTCGTAAAATATAATTACATAAAACATCGCAATATTTAATATCAAAATGTATAGCAAATAGTACAAATTACTATAATTATTTATTAAATAATTATTAAATGTTATTATTTATTTCATTTATAAATATTTTACTTATTTTAAAAATTTAAAAATTTATTAATATTTATCAATTGTACTGCTACATTTATCTGAACATTAATTATTAAGAGATCAATTTTCAAAAAACTTTTTATATAACTTAAAAATGTACTTCGTATAAAATTTCTGCATGAAATGTATAAAAATAGTTTATTATATCGCCAGTGATCATTATATTGTTTCAAAAAAATTTATTTAATTGAAGAGGCAATTCAAAATTAAATACAATTTAGCTATGATTTTTTAAAATCATTTTTAAAATTGTACTATAAATTTTTTAAAATGTACTATAATGATCTTTTTATTGAATGTAATTTAAACTGTAACTTTTGAAAAGAAATGATTTTATCGTCTTATATTTTAATTGAAATTAATATTTAATTTCAAATAATCAATATATAGCTTTGCAATAATTAATAAATTTTATGATTATAAATTTTAATACTACTCTATCATTATAATTTCAGGAAGATGTTTAATTATCTATAACGATATAAAAATAGAAGCAAATAAATTTAATCAGATATCAGATATCTATATTTTGATTTAAATGGTTAATATTTGATTATTTTTATTGTTTGAAATCATAATTAAAATCAACCTAGCTAACAATGGAGACAGTGCCTCATTATTTCATATTTCGAAGTACAAATATACATATACGTCAAAAAGTTGTTTTTGTGAAAATTTACAAAATTCTACAAAATGTATAATTCAATCAAAACAAAGTATGAGATAGTTATGCACTTAAAATTTTTTAAAGAATGATTATTTAAATGTATTTAAACAGTATGTAATAATTTTTAATTTTGCATATTGAGTGAATTAACAAACTTGCGTACTATTGTAACGAAACTTTAATATTAAAGCTAAAAATATAATATATCAATCAACTGTACAGAATGTAATTTTTAAATCTTTGATTTTGTAATATTAGTTGAAGCTCTATTTTTCTATAGCTATAGAAGTAATATAAGTAAAAGTGAATTCATGTGCCAAAAAAATATGTGTATTAGTATACTTTTATGAATATTATTCGAACAAAAAGATTGTATAGGAATTTGAAAAACTTATTTAAAATATCTCCCTTTCCTAAAATTTTCATTGCCATTAAAATTAAAATTTTATATATCTCGGTTAAGAAAAAAACATAGATTAATATTGTTTATAAATTTTAAATAATTCATTCATAAAATATAACAGTTTATTTGTTATAAATAATATATATATATACTTAATCTTTTTATTTCCAATATACTTTATAAGTTTTATAACATAAATACATTTGTTGTTTGATATTTATTTCTATTGATGTTTATTATATAACATATATTTGCATATATTTGCAAATATATATTATATAATATATATTTATCTATTTTTTTGTAATAAATATACATTACATAACATATATTTGCATTACAAAAAAAATAGAGAAAATATATATAATATATTTGTAATTATTCAGGCTCGATATGTGTGTATTTCATGCTATAAGAAATTATATGTGAAACTTGATTATTATATAAATGTATGTATGAAGTTAATATAATGTTATGGAAAAAAGTGAAATGTGAATGCAATAAATATATTTAAATTTATGGTATTAGATATAAAATTTTCGTTTAATTGTTTACAAATTTAGAATTAAAGTACAAATGAGTTTTATATTTATAAAATCTCTTGCATACTTTATTCAAGCAAAACATCCGTTGA